TCTACCAATGCCTGCACATCGGCGGTCTTCCACTCGATCAATGCTACTCGCTGCGTCAACGTCAGGGCCTCCGTCTCGTTCGGGTGGTCGAGCCACTCCCCCCATCAGGATGGAAATGACCGTCACGGAGCAGATTGCCAGACAGGCACGCAAGTCCACGGTACTCGATTCTTTTCTGCTTTTCCTTGCTTCTTTCTGACTTGGGGACGTCCCCGACTTTTTGCGCTCTTTGTTATCACAAATGACCCAGACTGCGAGGATTCTGACGAGCTGCTGCTAATGTGCTGGCGCTTGGACTGGCTTGGATTTTGTTTGAAATCAGACATACTTGCTGCATCCACCTCTGGGGTGGTTAAAGTCACACAGGAATTGCCTCTAGTTACACACAGTGGTTCTTGTGTAGCAGGAGGGGTCAAAGTCACGTGGGAAGTACCTCTAGTCACACACGGTGTAACTGTAGGCTCTTGCATTGTAGCTGTAGCACATTGCATTGTAGCTAGAGGTGCGCTCTGTTGAGTCGGAGGTTCGTCATCGTCCGAGTTCGCTGTGGAAGTGTTCTTGATTTTTTCTTCATCTTCCGTATCGCTTTTCATCACAGCATCCTTTGGTTCAACAGCATTGGTATTTAACGTAGGCGAAAATGTCAGCGACGATAGCTGTGAAAGCGGGTCTACCCATTCACCTTCTTGACCAACAAATGGTGCAACACCGTCCTTGATAATGTCTTCAAATTTCTCCAAGGCGCTCATCATTTCTCCAAATACAAACGTTCAGTTCCTCCTCATAATGTCTGCAATACTCTTTCCACACTCGAGAGCGTGCTTGTACTTCGTCGTCCCATTTAAAACGTGATGGCGCCTTGCTGTCATAGCAGAGTCACGGACTTGGAAGGTTGTGCACGCAACTGTTTTGTCTGGTACGTCTTCTTCTGGCGCAGGTTGATTCAGCTTGCACGACAACCTCCAACGGGGTGCAATGTACCGAATAGGAATTGCCTGTTTTCCACGTAAAAGTTTCTTCGGATGGCGGCGGTGGTTATGCTGGTACAGCGCGTTTCGCTTCTTGAATTTCCTGTTGCACTTGTGGCAAATCCCCCCACGCGCATCAGCTTCTAGGCGCGCTTTCTTGGACTTGACCTTGTTGGGGTTGTCAGCACAGTAACGGCGGTGGTTGGAGAGATGACGACACGATGTGCACTGTTGGACGCAATGCTCGCACATGTAGCTTCTGAACACAGCAGCTTCAGTTGCGTCGGCCTTTTGTGGAATTCCACGTACACGTACGTAACAATGCAGCCTCAAATTTTCCTCTTCAAATTCAGCCCCTGCATGGACCAAGTCTCCGCGGAACAGCAGGAATGCGCCCGCGTCAAGTGACAACAGTTTGCATTTGTCCATTTCTGCATAGACTCCAAAATAGCCAGGATAGACGTAGAACTGTGTGTCTGATTGAAGAGCAATAATGACAGACGCCTGAACAATACCCTTTTCCAGTTTCGCTTTGCTTGTCTCGAATGAAGGAAAATCTAGGTGGATGCCTTGGCGAAGGCCCCCCGGAAGTGATTTCAATGCGTTCCAAATAGACTTTTTGGTGTACCAATTTTTATCAGATCCTTCCACAATACCCTTCACTCGCTTGTATATTTTGTTTGTAGCCGGACCAAATGTAGCAATAGGAGCTTGAAGACGGAAATGGTCACGTTCTACTTCATACACTTCACCAAAAATAGGTCTGAAGTCCAGTTGCTCGATTTCCTGTTTAGCTTTCTCCAAAGTGTGAGGCGGTAGTCTTAAGTTTCCGACAAGGTAGCCTTCATTCCAGAATTGCGCCTTTAGACTGGCATCCATAATGACTGACACCTCGTCACACTTACTGGCCAGGTACACACGTGAAGGAGCACACAGGTCGTGTCAAGTCGTAAATGTGGTTGAGGTACTCGCCAGCAGAGCGGACCAACGGCTGTAGCTTCACGCGTCTAACACAACGCACGTCTGAAAGCAGCAGCCTCTTCACGACGAACAGCAAGTAGGTGCCGACTGCGAGGCTTCTTGGGGGCAATACTGACTCGTTAACAGAGTCTTCAAGGCTTCAGACGACGGAACAGACACCTCGGTGGCGTTTGGGTTGCAAGTGCGGCTTCTGGTGGCGGCTCAGACTCTTCTGGCAGTGGTGGCGGAGCTCGTGCTTGGGGGAAGGCACTGCGTCGTGATTGTTGTGAGCGGGTGGATTTGGACGGGGTTGCGGGCTGCTCAAGCGACGAATTGGGGCTTCTTTGGTAGTTCTTGAGTGATAAAACACTGGTTACCAAGCAGTACTTGGTAGTACCCTCGGAGGCTTAACTACCAATGGTACTTAAGCCTCCGAGGGCGTCATCGTTTACAGGCGATGACGTCAATATAACACTGCACTGGTACAGTACAATGTCGTCGATTGTTGTGGACTGTAGATCTGTCGGTGTGGATTATCCTTAAAAAAACATGTGGATTTTTCATATTTCCT